ATAAACTTCAAATCCCACAACATGCCATTCATCATTTACACAGTCACAGCCAAAATTAAAAAAGTGTTTAAAACATCCGAGCTATAAATCAGAATGCCACAAAAACATGGCAGAACATGAAAGGAAACTTTTAGTACATAAACTGTTCACAGTGATGAAAAAACATGCTGTGTAAAGAGTTAATGATACAGTTCTGAAATACAAATTACATGTAACACTTGTTGGAATATATGTATATTAAATAAAAGCAACTTTACAAACATACATCTCACAAAACATAAGTGCACTACATAAATTTAAAAAAACAACAAAACTGCCCTATCAGAACATTTTCTCAAAAAGCCCTTTACTGTAAGCATCCTTTGAAATTGCAAGATTTTAAAGAAAATACACAGAAGAACAAATTATTAAACAAAGAAAAAAAACGTAATTATAAATAGACGAAGGATGGTACTTTCAATTACCTAATAACTTGTTTTTACAACACTATGGGGGAAATTTTTACAATATTTTCACTTAAAACAAATATTAGTTTGTTTCTAACTTTAAAATAATGTACTTCATTTCAATCTCACCAACATACTTTTTTTAATCATACTTTTAAGTTATTATCAGCATTTAGTTTTAGTCCCTGTTTTGTTAAATTTTATTCTGTTGATCTTCTAAAAATTCCCACACAAGTCTTTTCTGAACAGTAAACTTTATTCAACAAATTTTAGTCGTATCAAGTGTTTGATGTCACCACCATGCACACGTGCGAAAAATGAACGGACTTCAAAACCATTATCGTTCTAATTAGCAAATTCTAAAAATTATTAAAACTATCAAAAATATATCTTGATTCCACTGCATTATGATACAACACATATAACACAATTAACACATGAAAAAATCTTTATGAAAGACATTACACTAAAAGTTTTTCTGCTAAGAAACAGTAAGAACAACCAAACAATGAATACACAATTAGAATTAATATCCTTTCTTTTTTATTGAATTTTGTTTTGGCAATTTATTAATTGCTACAAAGCTTAACTAACATTAAAGAAAAAAGTACTATCCTGCCAGTTTTCTATAAAAAAATTCTGAATTTTATTCTCTAACATTCAGTGAAGTTACAACCGCTTCAAATGTTCAGGAACACTTACGCGTGCCTCTTTACACTGTTCTCGAGATTTTCTAGTGACTTTTGTTTCTTTGCATTTTCCTTCTCCTCTTTTAGCTCCAAGTTTTTTCTTCGTTGCTCCATATCATATCGTGAAAGTCGTATAATTTCTTCCTGGAGTTCTACCTCTGCCATGTTGTGTTCGTGGAGCTTCTGACGTGTGAGAAATAGATATTAAAAAAAAGAGAGAGAGACTTTCAGTAGATTACAAAAACTTCTATTTTCAGCTTAAAACTATTTAGTTCAATAATGAAGAGTTAAGTGTTGTTCCTTTTTTTTTAATATTAATTCAAAGTATAATTACTGAAAATGCTTAAATTGCTACGTACTACACAAAAAGTCCTAGATAAAAGAGTGTTAAGTGAGCAGGGAATAGCAATCAATGATAGCAACTTGAACATAAACATATATGAATCCTTTGACTATTATATAACCACAGTTCAGCTTACGTCTCGTCGGCACACAAAATTAATCACTATAAATCAAAAGAAAATATTTTATTTAGATAATCCATAAATGTATCATCATCACCTACATTATTTCAAATCAATGGGAGAGTGGATAACATTTTCATACGAGCATACTCTATATACACATCATAAAATTTAAGGCATCATCATTTATAACACATATAGGTATAATCATCCAACTCTTGACAATGAAATAGCATAAAATTTACTAAAAAACCCCAGTTTCACCATCAAAAGAGTGCTTGTTACAAAATTGAAGATAATTTCATTAAGTTAATTATTCCTAAGAAACGTTTTATAAACACTTTTATAAACTCTTCTCTTTCTTGACAAAATGTTAGAGCAAGGTGGACATAAGAAGAGTTATGAAGTACATAACAGAGACTCTTCTTAACAAAATGTTAGAGCAAGGTGGACATAAGAAGAGTTATGAAGTACATAACAGAGACTCTTCTTAACAAAATGTTAGAGCAAGGTGGACATAAGAAGAGTTATGAAGTACATAACAGGGACTCTTCTTGACAAAATGTTAAAGCAAGGTGGACACGAGAAGAGTTATGAAGTACATAACAGGGACTCTTCTTAACCAGCTCTTTTGAAGGAGCAGGAACCAAGACAATGGATAATAATCTAAAAATTGTCGACAATAGAATATAGGGACACTAAAAATATAGTATGTGGAGAGTTTGTCAAGTCTCCACCATACAGATAGAAAATAAAACCTTCTCTGGATTCCTTTCTAAAGGTAAAGCTGATAAAAAAAATTGGAAGAGCTGCACAATCACATTGGCTTTGCAACATGGTCACATAAAAAACCCATAAAGTTAACATTCTCCTAATCTGAAAATGTATTTCCAATAGATATTTACCTCCATTATCAAGCAACAATAGCCCTCCACCTATAGAAGAGCTACACAACCTCCATGTGCAGTAACTCCCCTTATGCACTTGCACTCAAAACTTCATTCTTAGAAGAGGCAAAGAAAAAAATGTGCACTGTAAGTGAGAAGGACGAGTGGGAATGTGCGCAGAGGCAAGTATCTATCAAAAATATATTTTCAGACCAGGAAAATGTTAACTTCCAAAATGACAACTTACCTTCACACACAAATTCTAGAATCCCATGCTGAAGTGGTGGGGGGCTGGTGCAAAATTTTACCAAGATGAGCTTCCTTCAGAAAGCACTTTAAGTAAGCCCATAGAATGTGACATACAAAAACAGGAGTTCCATAGGAGACCGCATCTCATCTAAACCAGGGTATACTCTTTCTCCAAAACTGAAGGGGAGGAGAGCCAAAACAGCCAGAAGTATCACAGTGACGGGCAGAATTTGAATATGGTTAACCACACACAAGCAGTTGACGAGCCAAAGTGTAGTGTGGTAGAGCAAAACCAGACTGTAAAATCCCAGGGAGAGTTGTATACCTCCTCAATGCCATGTTTGGCCAAAAGATTTGATACCTCATTCTTGAGATAATGAAAATAGATTGAGTCTGAAGTAGGAGAGAGGAAAGTAGAGAAAGACCATGAGTGAGATCTTGAAGAACTCCATTTTCTGTGAAGAGTGACCACAGGTGTGCAAACTGAAACATGTGGGCACCCACTGGGCCTGACTTGACAGGATAGTCACTGACAAAATATGTGTGACAAACCTGACGGTGGGTAGTGTGAGGATGGGAAGAAAGGGAAGGTCTGAAAAGTGGAATAGGGCAGACAGAGCTGGTTAAAGAACAGCAGTGGAAAGGCAAGGTTATGAAAGGTGAGAAATCAGGGAAGATAAAGTGGATTGATGTCAGGCTGCTTTGGCCCTAGACTCCAGGAAATCAGGAACACCACCAAAGATGTCAGGTCATGGAAAGGAAGCCTGCTGGAGATCATACACATAAGAGGTAAGTAGTGTATGCCAACCCAACGGCAGAAGAACCAAGTGAACAGGGAAAGGGCAGAGGAAGTGGTACGGGCCATCATGTTAAAAAAGAAGGGAAAACCTGTCTGGAGCTTGATGAAGTGCCTCAGACATGAGGACTAGGGAGGATGAGTAGGAGGGTTGTAAGAAAGAGACATGAGAAAATCAGAGGACTAGGGAGGATGGGTAGGAGGGTTGTAAGAAGATGAGAAAAACCAGGTACTTGACAAGGGGGTCCACTCCCCGAGCAGATAATCAATTCCAAAGTCTGAGAATCTAGAAAAAAAAAAGAGAAAAACAGCTGTAAGCTAGGACATACGAACCAACAATGTGAGGAGGATGAGGTATAGTTGCGAAGTTGTTCATGGAAGTAATCAGTACAAATTCCAGACAAGGGAAGAAACGTTATATAATAACGAGCACTAGGATTGTGGTGGAAAGAACAGAAGGAATTATAAGACACCAGTGAAAGAGAAAGAAAGATAGGTACTTGAGAAATCAAGTTCTGAATCAGTGTTAAAGGTTGAGGATTTTCCTCAACCAGTAGGGAGGTACCCAAGGCATATTCAGGTTAAGTGAACAGGTAATTAAACTGAGTGGAAGGGATATCAAACAAATGGATGTGAAAAGAAGACCCAGCATACCTAATGGATCCCACAACACACTATAGAATGGCTATAACATCCTCCACAGCTAATGAGCTTCCTGAAGCCAGAGTAGAAAAATGGTCCATGTAACATCAACACCCACACAGGGCAAAGTTGAATTTAACATCGTTTGAAAATTCATAAAAATTAAAGTAAAAGTTTCATTAGCAAAAGCAAATCTCATCACATTGAACTCAGATGAGAAATTTTGAACACATCTGTTTAATGCAGTGCCAAGGAGAAGACTGAAGTTATCACCAGTACAAGTGCATCAGGGGAGTTATTGTACATGAAGGTGTGTCACTCCCCTACTGATGGTCTAGTACAAGTGCATCAGGGGAGTTACTGTACATGAAGGTTGTGTCACTCCCCTACTGGTGGTCTAGTACAAATGCATCAGGGGAGTTACTGTATATGAAGGTTGTGTCACTCCCCTACTGGTGGTCTAGTTCAAATGCATCAGGGGAGTTACTGTATATGAAGGTTGTGTCACTCCCCTACTGGTGGTGAACTATTGTCTTATGATGATTTCATCATGCACCAGCATAGTTCACATTACATACATGAATTAAAGTGGGAGTTAGCTCAAGGCTAGAGGCATGCAAGTCTCATAGGCAGATGCACGAGGGGAATGGCATTTCTGTGTGTGTGTGTGTGTGTGTGTGTGTGTGTAGAGGTGAGTTATCATCTCAGAATATATAACTGGCACAATTACATTACTTGATATACAATGAATAATACAGCAAAAACATTAATGTATGAAACTCAAACCACACTCATTATGTGTTAGACAGTGAAGAAAACCAACATATGACTCTCATACAACACCCAATGTTACAGTAAAGGACACTAATGTGTGACACTCATGTTAAACCCACACAGTTACAGTACTCGTTATGTCACTTAAAATATTAATAATACTTTCTACATTCATTCTTTATATTATTAACCAGATTAAGATAAAATGAATCTAACTGTTTTTGTAAATAAAATAATAACTGATTATCAAGTATGTTATTACACCTTAAAACTTAAATCAACGGTGGTCTAGTGTGAAAAAGTTATGACTTTAGAACTTTTGTGTCTGAAAATTAAATTAAAATAATCCAATATAAACAAATAGCTGAAGAAATGAAAAATTATAAGTTAAATTAAGGAAGAAAGATGTGTTATAAAGGCAGGTAAAGAAATGAAGTAAAACAAACAGCAATGCAAGAGAGTACCGTGTATTTTTCAAAGTCCTTCTGAAGCCTACTTTCTGAAGCTCTGTCCAGTTGACGTTCTACATCCACAAGGTGTGCCCACTTCTGGGCATCTTTTTTCTCATGCCAGTCCTCAAGTGCTCTCTCCTGAAAAAAATTGTTTCTTTGTATTGAAATCATATACAATAAACAAATAAACAGTACTTAATCAGTCAACTTTAAAGAATAATTTTTATATTAAATAGATAATAATTCATATTGTAATAGAAATTTTTCAATAAGTCAGTTATATTTCCAAAAGACAGCACGTGTACCAATATTCATATTTCAACAGTTTACTTTCAAGCACTCAACAAATATATTTTTTATTTTCAAAGTACTATACAGCACTATAATTTACAATATGCTTAACGTTACTGATAAAAATTTAAGTTGTATAACTATGATAAAAACATGCTAGTCAACCTACAACAACGAGAAAACTGCATGGCTGTGAGTAGTATTGGTGGTGCGTAATATAACTGTTGCTGGGTTCTTTTGGATCATTTGATAAAAATAATGAGAAATCCAGTCCAAGTAGCAATAACAATTTATTTCTTTTTTTATCATCTTCTAAAGCTACTTTCACCTGTAGGCCTAACTTCAAATACAAACCTTTTCAACAGATACTACAGTAGGCCTTACATAATAATAATGTTAAACAGAAATTTCCTTAATTAAAGGAATGCACAAATAAACTTACTTACATAAATTCCCCGCTAATCATTCGAGTAACTGAATAGACACAATCAATCTCACTTCTAACACTGAACTTATAAACTTATTGAATACTCATTCACTTATTGATTACTCATACTTATAATGTACTCTCATCTCTATATTATAGACAAAGCCAATGTTTCAATAATTAATGTTTTCAAAATAGAATTTCATCTTATTCACAATTTCCTTCGTTTAGCTTTTCACATATACCTTAATTTTATAGTTTCATCGCCTGGCTTGCAAGCCATACAGTTTATTCATTCATTAGTGGTTAATCATAAGGGCCAACACACTGCCATTTTCCCATACACTCGCATGCTGTATTTGTAAAGCTTGCACTCGTCCAAAATCATGTTAAGTAAGCCTTGTTGACATTTTCTCTAACTTCTTGGATGGAAAGAAAATATCTTACTTTTCAGATATGTATTTTAAAACATAAATAATACATAATTTAATAAAATTGAACTGTCTAACTAAGACATAACTTGGTTACAAAAATTGTTAAATGTTATGAGCACCAACTTTCCTTACTGCCAAGCTATAGAATCAAGACATCTTGTTATTGTACAGTACAATTTGAAAAGGACCATTGGGAGCTCGTAATTCAAAATAAGCTCTTTCTATTGGTTATAAACAAGTACATCAAATAACATGATGGGGTTTCGACAACTGCCTTGAGAGCTACAGAATCAAGATGTTTTATTATACATTGTAATTTCAAAAGGACCATTGAGAGCTTGTAATTCAAAGTAAGCTCTTTCTATTGGTTATAAACAAGTAGATCAAACAAGGTATGGTTTTGACAACTGCCTTGAGAGTTATGGAAAGATGGGTGGGGCTTCTGTCGTGGGTTTGAAAGATTTATCTATATCTCACTAAATGGAGGTGTTATAATGTTAAATTGGTACATTCGGCATCAGAATTGTTTATCAGCTGTGTCTTAAATAAGACAGGCAGTGTACATGTTGGGATTTGGGAGTTCTACTAATTAAAAAGGGGAAAACTTGAGAGCACTTTTATGTCATGTGACAGTAGAAGTGAAGACTGAAAATTATTTTATGTATTTCTTTTGAAATTAAAACTTATATAATATACAAGTTTGAATCATAAACTACATTCCTAATTGTAATGAAATACATTAATAGAGTTGTTCTGTCAAATTTTGAAAGTCACTCTGTAAAATGTCACGACCTGTGCAGAAGAGCCTACTGTCATTTTACTCATTCATGACTATCTCTGTCATGAAAACTCACTGGCTTCTGATCACAACTTATATACTGATATTTTCACTTTGCAAACCATTGTTTATTATTTTCAAATTAATATAAAACACCAGTAAAGAATCAAGAGATCAAATGTGTTTGTTTGTTTTGAACTTCGTGCAAAGCTACACGAGGGCTATCTGCACTAGCCGTCCCTAATTTAGCAGTGTAAGACTAGAGGGAAAGCAGCTAGTCATCACCACCCACCGCCAACTCTTGGGCTACTCTTTTACCAACGATTAGTGGGATGGACCATCACATTATAATGCACCCACAGCTGAAAGGGTGAGCATGTTTGGTGGGATGGGGATTCAAACCCATGAACCGCAGATTGCGAGTCGAGCTCCATATCCACCTGGCTATGGATCAATCATGAATGTGATATTTGGCTCTCAAAACAAAGAACTGATGGTTTATTTTGTATAAGTATTCACAAATGTTGAGTGCTACCAAATAAGTAATATATTGTATATTTTGACAGAATACATTTTTCTATAAAAATAAACAATATTGATACACTAAGTACAGAGAAAATCTAACTAAACTATTTCAGCACTTTTTACATATTTTAACTTAGCTTCTCCACCTTGCAAGTGATATAAAAGTCCAGAGCAAAACCACCAGCAAGATTTAAAAAAAAATTCTTATAAGAATACAATACTACAATACCAGTAATTAGGAAAGTTTTTCAGTTATATTGCACAGTGTCAAATACACACGAGAACAACCCAATTCTTTACCTGGGACTTTTTTCTTTGGACAGACTTTTCACGAACCATGTGAGACCTTTTTTCCTATCAAAACAAATCCATATTTAATTCATTTGTAATAATAATAATTTACTCTTTCAAAAGTTTAAAAAAGTTTCAACATAAAATAACAATAAACTATGAAAAAAAAAGGTAAACAATCCAAAGCCATGAAGTAACAACTTATTAAACCAGTGGTTTAAAATAAGCTATAAAGTTAAAGCTGAATATAATTTTAAGTGAGTTTTCTTGTGTGCAATTGCTACATAGTTTGTGAAACATTTACACTAAAATACAACTCAAGATATAAAAAAAGTCTATGAACGAATATCATATTTTACAATGCAGTTTCAACTATCAGCTAGAAAACTTTTCTGTTAACTACATTTTACAGTTTCTACAGTTTTTACATGCTACAGAATATTTCTGTGGATTAACTTGGTTTTACATGCTACAGAATATTTCTGTGAATTAACTTAATTTTACATGCTACAGAATATTTCTGTGGATTAACTTGGTTTTACATGCTACAGAATAAATTTGTGGATTAACTTGGTTTACATGCTACAGAATATTTCTATGGATTAACTTGGTTTTACATGCTACAGAATATTTCCGTGGATTAACATGGTTTTTACAAGCTACAGAATATTTCTATGGATTAACTTAGTTTTACAAGCTACAGAATATTTCCATGGATTAACTTAGTTTTACAAGCTACAGAATATTTCCATGGATTAACTTGGTTTTACAAGCTACAGAATAATTCTGTGGATTAACTGGTTTTACATACTACAGAATATTTCCATGGATTAACATGGTTTTTACAAGCTACAGAATATTTCCATGGATTAACTTGGTTTTACAAGCTACAGAATATTTCCATGGATTAACTTGGTTTTACAAGCTACAGAATATTTCCGTGGATTAACTTAGTTTTACATGCCACAGAATATTTCTATGGATTAACTTGGTTTTACAAGCCACAGAATATTTCCATGGATTAACTTGGTTTTACAAGCTACAGAATATTTCTGTGGATTAACTTGGTAGATGTTTTACTATGTTGTTTGTTAAACTTAGTTACGCATGTGATAAAGTGGGTAAATTAAAGCGAGAAGAAATAACTTCAAGTATATTTGAATTTACTCATGTACGACAACATCCTACGAAAGAGAATTCATCCAGTATGAAGGTGTATCAGTACTGTAGGAATTCTTGTCACATGAATTAGGATGAGAAACTAATATATCAATATTTTCAATTGGTGACACAAATTAACAATAACTAACATTTTCAGATAGCAAGGTGTACTAAGGTAACCAACATGTAAATATATTTCTAAAGGGATACTGTATATTATTGAACCCATCTTTTGTAGCACAGCATGTAATTCTGAATAGAATATTTACTGAAAAATGTAAGTTTAACCTAAAGTGGCCTTAGATTCCATAACAACTCGAACATTCTGAATAGAATATTTACTGAAAAATGTAAGTTTAACCTAAAGTGGCCTTAGATTCCATAACAACTCGAACACGCACATGGGGTTTGAAGTTACAGTAAGACACAAAATGCTAAATTTCAATTACACTAAAAATAAAAGCAAGACTTCTTTTTAAAGGACATAAAAGCAGACACCCCAAGTGAATCAGATTAATTTGAGGGAGACAAGTCTTTGAGACCCAACAATACCAAGACTTTGAAACCGTCACTATCATCATAACCTTACACGTTTCACGGTTGGATGACTGACCAACCAACTTCAACTACCTCGTTTCCACCAACCAACCAATCTTGTTTATCACCTATCTAATTGTGTATGCCTATTTCACTTGAAATCAGTCTTTTTGATACTAAGTTTGTAAATACATCAAGACTTTAAAAGAACAGTATATTCAGCCTTGGATCTCCAGGAGACTTTCAGTTAAGGAGGGAGGATGTTATGTAGATCAAGGAGACACCCAGAAGTTCCTGGAGGCTTGGGCTGCTAAAGAAGACAAACTATGATTCTTATTAACTCAAACTTAATTCTGAGTATTCTATCGTTATGTATATATATATTACTTACATGTTACAATTCAACAATATAAATGCTTCAAAGAAACTTTATTTTCCTGATAACATATAATTAGTGAAATAACAGCTGTTTAAATGAATGTTTATGGAGTCATTCTGTTAGAATAAACCTGTATCGGAGAAGTAATGTTGAGTATAGCTCAATTTAAAGTGTATTTTTATGAAATGTGGCAAGCTTTTTGTCACCAGTATAAATCTGTTGTACACAAACAATCAGACATATTGCTAAAGTTTTCTACTAAAGATATGTCAGTGATTTTGAAAGGTTGGAGAGCAAGGTGATGTTCAAGTGATTAAATACAAATATTTTTATCCACCATACAGTTTGTAAGTTGCATTTGTATAACCTCTAAAACCTTGCATACCTAAAGTGTTTTTTCCCAGCATCCCTATACATTTTGTCAAGTATTTACTCTACTATAACATGAAATCAACAATGTACGGTAACATGACATGTTGATAACTCTGACATCAAAGTCACAATACCATGTTGAATGGTTCTCTGTACAAGTGCACATATTGACCCCCACCCATACGTATCAGGTTTAATGTTTAACCCTCTGAATGACTCTGACATGAAAGGAGTTACAGAGCAGTACTATACAGCTGGGAGTTGGTTTAGCATGTAACTGTTATAAACTTTTTGTTGGATCAAAAAAACATGGACATATTCAGGATGTAAAAAAAAAACACAACAACAATCAGACATCCTGAATAAAGTCTCAATTTTTCTGAACACTTGAATGGAAAATGGTCGTCTTACATACCAATTGAACTTTTGAAATAAATAAAAATCTTTCAGTCACGACAGTAAAATTTAACTGAAGAATGATAAAGTTCCTTACTATTCTAAAGCTTGTATAGTATTTCTTCTCGGAAGACACATCACACAGTTGATGATCAATAGCTAAACATGGTGTATGGCTTACTGGAGTTAACCCTCTCGAGATGGGTCACAGGTGAAAGGCCATGTCATCTGATTTTTTTACTCGCATTCAAAATGTTATTGAACTACTACTTCATAAATTTATGTCAATAACTTTGGTATCAAACTGTAGATTATAATTCAAATTTTAGTACTATATATGACACCAATTTCTTAATTTAAAAGCAAATATTAAAAAACACAGATAAACCAATTTTTATGTGTCACCTGGTATGTTGAATGCAGCACTGGTTCAAATTAGATGTTTGTGAAGTCAAAATTCTAAGTCTATGGTTTCATACGAATTAGAAACTCAAATTACCGATATTGACATGCCAGAATATAAAATAAGAAGGTCTTATCTTTTCAATTTGCTAAGATATTACTCGCATTATAAATCAAACAAAGTGGTACCCCACCCACCTCTTTTCATTTTTGGAAACACTCCCTTATATACATTTACTTCTATACATGACATGAATAACCAATTGGAAGCTCAGAATGTCCCCCTAGTGGTTTTCTCAGCCATTTTAATGAGCTTGGTGCCATTTATTTCTTTTGAACCAATATTTCAACGAGGTAGGGTGTGTCTTTTAGTTTGCTCGAAATTTCATATTTTTTTAGACTGAAATACATCTTAGTTACTATACTTGATAAATTAGTGAAATTCTATGGTATTAATGTAGTAATTTATGTATATATTCAAATGTATATATAAAACCTTAAAATAAATATTTTGTTTCATATCCTCCATGTGCAAACTTTTTAAAGGCTTAGCAACCTACGTCAAG